GTTATCATCAGCCAGCTGTGAGGACAGAACCTTAGTGATCAGTTTAGCAACAAAGCTGATCAGGCTGATAGGCCTAAAGTCCCTAACTCATCCAGCGCCATCTTTTTTTGGTAGCAGAGCGATGAAGGCTGAGTTGATCAGTGCAAAATTTGCACTGGACAGGCTGTGGAATTGGTGGAATACAACCATCACATCATCCTTAATTATATCCCGGCATGAGTGAAAGAATTGCCATTGAATTCGTCAGGCCCCGGTGCCTTCTCTGCCGGCAATGCCAGAACTACCGCCCAAACTTCAGCTTCAGTAAAAGGGGCGTCGAGCCCCTCCGCCTCTATTGTGGGCAGCTGTAGTTCAGTCCAGTTGATGGTACATCCTCGAGGTTCAGAACTTCCCACGATCTTATTAAAATGTTCATAGATGATGTCGGCCTTCTCTTCATGCTCTATTTCAACCTGGCTATTTGTCTTCAGAGATTGAATGAAAATTTCCCTCTTCCTTGAATTGATTTTGGCATTGAAGAACGCAGTGTTTGCATCTACTGCCTTTAGCCAAGTTATCTGAGAAGCTTGGCGTCGCCTAGCTCTTTCCACAGCAGCTAGGTCAACCACTCTCTGCTTCAAAAGTTTTATGAAACTGAACTCTGCCGGTGTTAATTGTCGCTTTTCCATTGCGACATCCAGTCTTAGGATTATCTCAGTTGCAAGGTGGAACTGAATCTTTGCATCGCTGAATAGACTGTTGCTCCAGATCTTGAGGTCCTTGGCCACCCACTCGAGCCTCGTATCGATTCTATGCAACGCGCATGACTGGGTAGCAGGGTGATGCCAAGCTCGCTGGACAGTTTCACGGAAGTGTGGAAATTTGACTAGAAGCACTTGAAACGAAACCTAGCCCTCCTTGGAGGAGCAGTGGCACTAGCAAGCACTAGGGGACAGTGGCTTGAGCATGTCGTCGATGCGGCCATGAGCATATAGGAAGGGAAAAACGCCCTCCATTCTAAGTTCGCGAAGAATTTGTCGATGCTAACTAAAGTAGGTGATTCTCTCTCGTTGCTCCAGGTGAATCTCCTGTTTTTACACTTAATTTCTTTTAAAGCTGCCATGTCGATCACCGCCCTAAATCTACTCATCAACCTTCTATTGAGGTTAAGATTGTTTTTATCCCTAGCCTCCTAGATTACGTTAAAGTCTCCGTTAAGAAGCCATGGAGTGCCTAGGGGTGGTGCAACCCTAGCTAGTTCGTTGTAGAAAGCCTCCTTGTTCGTGTCATCTGAGGGGCCGTAGACCGTTGTAAGGACAAAACTAGTGGAGGAGCTAACTACTGTGACAGTGGTCGTGATCGAGAATAGGTCGATCACTTGGGAACAGATAGAGAAAAGCTCTCTGTTCCAGAAGATTGCGGCTCCTCCTCTACTTGCAATCACCGGAAGAACTACACAATCTTTTAACCACTACCTCCAATGTCGTTCACCATGGCTTGTGTCCACATCTCAATTTTTGTTTCCTGTACACATAGGATGGCTCATCTGTGTGCAGCTCCTATCTCTCTAACTACTTCTCTCTTCGTCGCCGAGTTCAGTCCCCGGACGTTCCAGGACATGATCGGACAGTTGTTGTTATTCATGTGGACACCAGGAGATGCTCCAGAGACTAACATTACTAATGAAGGAGAAGTACACAGCCAGAACATAATCCGGGGCATGCTAGTGGCCACCAATAGGCCCCAAATTCCACTAGCATGAAGATATTCTAGCTAACCTGACACCAAACATGAAATCTAACTCTAGCCAGCCGAAAGCCCACCACCTCTGAAGACTATAGCTAAGATACATGATCTAAACAACGTCATCGCGGTGAGCTCCATCTGCGTCGGCGAGGCCTGCAGCAATGCGAAGAGCGGCAGGGTTCTGGTGTGTAAGCTTTGCCAGGGAAACGATGTCATCCTCGGTGAGTGGCTCGTCAAACTTCTTGATCAGCACCTATGCAGCTTTCTGGGTCATCTTGTCCTTGGGCCCGAGCAGGCTGAGGTCGCGCACAAGTCGCAGCATCGCACGGTGCGCCACCGACAACTCAATGTGGCTTCTTGCCAGTCGAGCACTCTAGCGTGTGGGAGCTGAAGCAGTCCTTGTCTTAATGGGGGCAGAGGGGTGTGGTAGGGTGAGCAGGGCGCGGGGATGTCGGTGGAGAGGCAGCGTGGAGTCGCAGCAGCCTGGTCTTGTATGTCCATGCGCTGCACCCTCTGAGTGATCGCGCCCAGCTGCAAGCCTATAGAGGAGGTCGGAGTGGGGGCATAGTACGCCTAGGTGGAGACTGCAGCATCATGTGGAGCCTTGCTGCCACCTGGGATGTTTGTAAAGCACAGCGGCTCCGCCACCACTGCCGCAGCGTCCTTGTTGATGTCTTCTGAGGCATCGGGGATGGCCGCCAGAGGGGGAAGCGCGGCTTGGTCTTCAAAAAACGCCGCCATCGGGTCTGGAGATGAGCGCTTGGGGGCCACCTCGGTAGCGGACTGAGTGGCGGGGGGAGGAGGAGGGTGCGCCCACCTTGGGCTTGCTTGCCCTTGGAAGTGTGCTGGCGCTGGTGACGCCCATGGCAACTTGTCGGCGTGCAGCTGTATTGACGTAGTTGGGGTTGCTCAGTCTGCCCTTTGTTGTGGGATGTGCGCCCCCGGCCGAACATGGTTTCTTTCCATGATCGCCGACCGCCTTCATCCTCGCCGTCGGGGCCCCGCCTGTGGCCACCAAAAGGCAGACCATGACAGCCGGCGGAAACCACCACAGGCCCAGGGCGTTTGTCACAGGCCTGGTCTGGTGGAGCTTGGCCATCTTCAACCTTCATCATCCAGGTGTCGGGGTAGATAGCAGGGAACGGTCTGTTGGCGCTGTCTGACTCGGAGGAGGGGATGCCGCTCTATGGTGAAGAGGTTGAGCGTGGGGACAACAGTGTCCAATCTTCAACTCTTTTCGATGTGGAGGAGCAGGTCGTGGCGTCGTACCCACGGCGGTGGCGCCACATTGCGGCTGGGGGAGGGGAAGCCGTACATATCCTCGGTTCTTCCAGCCCCTTGCTTGACGATCCAGAACGTGCACTTGGTCGGGATGTGGGATACGTCCCACACCCAGACCCACACCCCGGAATGCTTCGTCTGGCCTTGCTCGAAGGTGACACTGTCGAGGCGGTCAACCCTGCACCGGTCACGAGGGCCTCCTCCGCACCCTCCAGTGACCATATGCATCAGCAGGTCCTCGATGACGACACACACATGGAGCTTGAAGTTGTCGTGGGTCATGTGATCATCATCATGCCATGGCTTGATCCGGAGCACGCCGTCGTCGACGATGACCGCGCCCTGGCGAACTGCCAGGTTGTGGTGCGCGGGGAGGTTGAAGCGAACGAAGAAGTCTTCCGGGTGGTGGTAGGTGACAGCAGCATATGAGGTGGGATGCGCAGCTGCGCTTCCAGATCCTTGCCGACGGCCATGGGGTTGGTGGGGTGCGACTTGTCGACGGTGGAGAGGAGCACCACGTGGTGACCGAGGACGAATTTCCAGCTGCTCCATGGCCGGAGAGGAGACGATGACCTTGTAGCTCTCCCAAGGGCGGCGCGAAGGGTCGCTGTGGAAGTGGCGTGCCGTCTCCATAGTAGCAGCGTGGACCGGAGCAGGAGGTGGAGGAGGAAAGCGAAGGCGGTCATGCACTGGCACTCTAGGCTGCACCGGGCCACCGGAGGGGCGGTTGCGAGGATTAAGGTGGCACTCTCTACCAAAATGACCAGGCTGCTTGCACAAGATGCAACAGAACAGATCTCTACAGTCAATGTGACGGTGCTCTGAGCTGAGGCAGCGAAAACAGAGTCCTTTGAAGTGCCTTAAGAAGACCTCTCTGCCTGCACTTGTCTTGAAGTCCAGGCACCGGGGAGCACGCCGTTGAGCTCGAGGAGCCGGCAGATCGGAGCGGGCACGCCGGTTTTTCAGCGAGTGGTAAATGGACCAGCCATCCTTCTCGCCCGAAGAGGAATGATCGGCAGTCGGGAAAGGGATAACTACGATGGATTTAAGCAGAGGCCGCCCAGAAGGGGGGGGGTGCTGCTCGATCCACTAGGGGGAGGGGAGGCGCGACATTGGAGTAGCCACCCCGGAGAAGGAGGCGCAACTGTTCTGGGGATGGGACGCGGGTGACAACTGAGACTCCAATACCTGGGAAGGACCGGAGGACGCAGGTAGATCTCCCCCAGATCCAGGTGAGGTCCATGTCGAGCGGTCCGATGGCGGGGCGATAGGGGTTGACGGCTGGGAGGGGGAGGGGGCCATAGGCCGATGGGCTGGCGCAGCTACCCGCACGGGCAACCATGGTGGCTGGTGGCCGCCGCCGCCGGAGTGGCCAACGGCGCGGGGGAGCTAGATGAGAAGGAGGGAGAGAGCTCTCAGTCGCACACCATGTCGAATTTGATTTCTTTTTATGAAGAGGTATGAGCTAATCTGAGTCGTTCTGATGTTTAGGGGCGTACGGAAGCATAATTGGACCGCCCTGACCCAAAACCCAAGGTACGCCATTGGCGAGGAGAAAGGAACGTCCGGTGTGACCTTCTTGTTCTCGCCTGTTATTTGAGATCCATCGGCATCAGCACGAGCGACAGAGAGAAACAACGGCGAAGAAGATAGCCGTCGAAACCTCCCGCGCACGAGCGCTTGACCTACTCCCGTTCTAAATTATTTGACCGCTGTCCCACTCGCAGTGACTCTGGCGGACCAGTCAAACACCGCAACTTGTTCCTGCCTCTCTACGTTCAGCCGCTACCACCAACCTGAGAATAGTTCTCCCCTCCAAGATCTCAGTCCCGGTCTTTGTTTTCTACTCCTATATAAATGTCCCCAAAAGTTTAGCCAGGATAGAAAGACAGATACAACCTGTGACTAGAGCATACTCCTTTTCGGCGAGCACAAGTCGTCAGCAAATCAAGGACAGAGCCACCCGCACGTACGTGCTCCGACAAGCAAGATCCATGGCCAACAATGGCGTCAAGGTCACCTACATCGAGACGCAATTCGTCACCTCCGACGCCGCGGGCTTCAAGTCCCTCGTGCAGCGCCTCACCGGCAAGTCCGCTGAAACCGGAGCCGAAGCCGGAGCAGCACCTCCGCTCCACCGACCGCGCCCCAGCCGCCCAGCCGCCGAGAGGAGGAACGCTGTCGCCGGAGCACGAAGCCATTTCATGCCCGCCACCGCGGGCGCGGTCGGTACAGCCGGGAACGACGTGCGGGCTGCCAACGCCAACGCCAACGCCAACGCCGGCGCCGCGCAGCCGTGTCCGGATGAGCTGTACGGGTTCTGCGATTACTCAGAGCTGTTCTCCGCGGGCGAACGGCGCCATGGCGGCGGTTACAGTGATTTCCTCTATTGAGGTGTAGATACTCCCTGGTTACGACGTCGGCAAATTCAATTCATTTTTTAGATGCCCTGCACTCCTGCCTGTTCTGCCTATTAGCATCAGCTCCCAATTTGGGAAATTGCAAATATAATGAGTTACTCATGTCACAGATGATTCATTTACACTGCAGCTGCGCGCCTGTGACAGTTTTTATGATTCGGACGTGTTCAGTTATTTTATATGGATACGGATGAGTTGGTTGTATGCATCTCCGATGTGGAGACGTGGCAACGAAAGCTTCCATTCATAAAAGAAAATGACGTTTCTCAACTTCTATATATTCCCCTTTCGGTGTGTCTTTTCCAAGAAAATGGGAAACATCATTTTCTTTTGAGATCGGATGATCCTCAGCCCCTGCATCATTGTGATGCACACCGTCATTCATATTAAAATAATAAATGTCAAAGGCCCAATCACAACCGCCTGAAAATAGAATCACTCCCTCGTCAACCAAACCGATTGATATATCACGTGTTATCGTTTCCCAACATCCAGTAGCAATAGGTAGCACCACGTATGGATGTTACCTGTAGTCTACAGAAAATAATCTCCAAAAGAATTAGAGCTGTTGTCTGTAATAAAATGTAACCTATACGTTAATTCCAAACTTGGACGATGTTCAGCCAACCAATTCCAAACATATTTGGTGTACTAGTTGCTGGTCATAGATTAAAAGCTACATAAACAACCGGCAAATGAGTTTAGTGATTGGCATGGGAGAAGACAAAAGAATTTTGATGTGTTTCCTCCAAGTCACACAAACACCACTTCTTACTTCTCGTGCTTTGCAAGTCAACATTCATGAGTACAACACCATGATCTGGAAACCGTATGATTATTTTTATCTTATGTGGGAGTTTTGTCTTCCAAATGCGGGGAAGGGTGGTCCAACGTTCATGTAAATTGCACCGATAAAAATATACGTGTTAGTATCGAGAAGATATGGATATAAATGCATTTTAAAGCATTAAAATAAGGATACGTTTGACTATTTTGAGAATATATTATCAGTTAAGCATCCAGCTATTTCGCAAGAAAAAAGTTAAGCATCCAGCTGTTTAGAACTCACTTCGTCCTATAATGTAAGACATTTTTTGACATGTATTTAGTTTGTGTGGTCCATTCTCTTGTATCATCGTACTTGTGATTTCAACAATAGCCAATAACTAACCGCCAAACCGCAACATCGAATTTGACTAAGCTAGGTCGTACTCCCTCCGTCCATGAATAAGTGTACTTCTAGATTTTGTCTTAAGTCAAAGTTTTAAAACTTTGACCAACTTTATAGGGAAAAGTAGCAGCATTTATGACACTAAATTAGTATCACTAAATTCGTTTTGAATTGTAATTTCATAATATATCAATTTTATGTCATATATGTTACTACTCTTTTGTATGTATTTGGTCAAAATTTTAAAACTTTGACTTAGAACAAAGGCTAGAAGTACACTTATTCGCGGACGGAGGGAGTATCAAGGAAGGATCAAGGGAGTATTGAAAACGTATCCGCATTAATTTTATTGCATATATTCACCGCTACTTCATTGCTACGTATCGAGGACATATTGAACAGATAATATTGATATTGGATATGATATCTGATAGATTACAACGGTTGTTGGGTTTATCGGTGTTTTTGAGGTGTTCATGAGATCCGCATAGATGAATTTAACCAAGAAATAAACTACAAGTATTCTGCCAACGGAATACATATGAATCTTTAGTTAGGTTGACCGACATCAACATGCATACCAAGTGGAGCCAAACAACTCAAAACTAAGCTTTCTATTCGGTAAGTACTTTGAACTTGTAGTAGTTTGAATTTTGATAAGATTCCTACATTGGCAGAGGCAGGGGTAGCCAGCAGGGCCCCCGGCCAACATTCAGTTTCATTCGTTAGATTGACGATTATTACCTGCTAAAAGCGTATTTAACGACTTAGCCCTCCCAAACCTTGCTTAATAACACTATGCCGCACCGATACTCCCTTCATTTCACAATGTAGTGCATCTATACTTTTTGAGATCTAAATTTAACCAACGAGACCGACTGCGACGGCAACAGAAATTATAGCACTGATTTCGTATTTTCGATACAAATTTAGTGGTATAATTTTTGCTCCCGCCGCAGTCGGTCCCGTTGGTTAAATATATGGTCAAATTTAAATCTCGAAAAGCGCTGATGCACTACATCATGAAATGAAGCGAGTATAATTTTTCTGGCTCCCCCACTAACCACCCGCATACATGGGCGACATTTTGCTAAGATCGAGAACCGATAAGCAGGCAAAGAACGCCATCAAACATCGCATCCAAATTGGATACTCCCTCCTTTCAGTTTGTTAGGTCCATCTTAAAAAACAGAAATTTGCCATTTGCAAACCTTATTATTTTAGAAATAGATAAATATAGATTGTGTCCACATTAAATTCTGTCAAAATTTGATCTTACCAATGCATGAAAGAGCAAGGGTCATGCATGTGGCATTGATATGCTCGTTATTGATGTGAAGCACGGCAAACAGGAAAGAAGTGACTAGTATTGCAAGTTAGGCAACTACTAACAGCATAGTTTGCATGAGGAATCCAATATCTCCTGTTACAATCTGCAAGGTACCTATGAATCCGACTAACATCCGTGCAAAATCAGGCGCCCATGCCGCCACGGGATGTTCAGCTCCGGCGCGCGGAGCACGTGCACGGCTCGACGCCGCCCCTCTGGTACGGATGATAGCAGCGGGACCGCGAGGACGTGCGCGACCCAGTGTCAGCTGGCACCGGCGGCGACGGAGGAGACGGGCGGGGGACGCGGTCAGGATATGTCGCCGCGCGCTGGGGACGCGTCGGGGGCGTGTGCTGCGGGGACGCCGCGCACCTCCACGGAGCAGTCGGCACGTACTCCGGCGAGGCCGCGCGCCACGAGGAGGCCGAGGGGGAGTAATCCGGTGACGGCGAGCGCCGCAGAGGAGGTGTCGACGCGGCGTAGTCCGACGAAGAAGGTCGCTGCTCCTGAGGTGTCGACGGGGTGTCGTCGGCGGGGAACACCGCCAGCGCGCGCCTCCAGTGGTCAGTCAACGGCATATACTCCGGCGACGCCACTCGGCACAGTGACGTAGAAGGGGAGTAACCCGGCGACGCCACGCGGCACGGCGAGGTAGAAGGGGAGTAATCCGGGGACGACGAGCTCTGCCGCCCAGGTACCGACAACCGGGTGTGCTGGTTGGTCGCCGCGCGCCCGCGCCACCAGGCAGTCGACGGGACGTACTCCGGGGACTCCGCGCGCCACGGGGAGGTCGACGGCGCGTAATCTGGTGACGCCGCACGCCTCCAGTGGTCAGCCGACGGCCTATACTCCGGAGACGCCACGCAGCACGGCGAGGTGGACGGGAAGTAATCCGGCGACGACGAGGACGAGCTCTGCCGCCCACCTGCCGACGACCGGGTGTGGTGGCTGCCCGTGACCGTCACGCGCCCGCGCCACCAGGGAGTCGACGGGACGTACTCCGGGGACTCCGCGCGCCACGGGGAGGTCGACGGCGCGAGGTCAAGCGACCCCGCTCGCCACTGATGGCACGACGGCACGTACTCCGGCGACCCCAGGCGGGGCGGGTAGTCAGGCGACGACGGGGATCTCTCGCGGCCGAAGACGGGGAATGGATCCATCGGGGAAGGGGTGAGTAGTCTAGGGAGAGACGCCGCAGAAGTCGCCGGCGGGCGCCGGATCCAGAGAGGGTTCCGTGTGAGCGTGGTGGTCAAGAATCCGAGACGGCGGAGGCCACTCGCGAGAATTTCTAGGGGCGATGTCGCGTGGATAGCAAGTCCGCGGCTCTGCGCTGGCCTGGAGTTTAAAAGCTTGCTTGAATTGGCTTCGGCTGTGGCTAGTGCTCAGATCGGTTCATCTGAGGGTGGGCCAGACTGGCATACGGTCCACTCACCCGTTCCTCTGAGCGTGGGCCAGGCTGCCATACGGGTCCAAAGACCAGGCTGCCTGTATAAATCATGAGGGCACTTATTTTTATTAAATGATAAGTGCAGCACGTGTGGCCGTCTTGACATTTTTTTATGCGGTACATGCTTAGCTGAGGTGCTAAATGCTAAATACACGAAAGGGCTTAGTATCAACTTATAACCCTTTTAATGTATACACACGCTTAGCCTTTTGTAACTAAGCTTTCTTTATTTAAATTGTTTAGCAACTAAATTATTTCATGCATAAGTGTTTGTGAAGGTGAAATTACTCTTCTAGTCCCAACCTTGAATGAGCTCGGGGTGAACAATAAAAAAATCATAAAATTCTTAGAGCTTGGGACATTTGTAGAATTCATGGCAACACAATGAAACTTGCAAGCGTAAAAAACTTTTGTCACAATTTTTTTTAGAATGGTTTGATTTTCTTATTCATTTTTACTGTTCACCTGGCCTCATATGAGCTCGAGCTAAGAAACTTCATGTCTTTGTATAGGTAGCATTGTTTCTTCTGAGTCATTAAAGTGCTCTCTCTTCTTAGTTACTTTATCACAACAATTTTTCACCTATGTGTTATCCTTTACAACTTTACATCTCCCCATTCCTCTGAGCATGGGCCAGATTGACTTGCGGTCCACTCCCCATTCCTCTGAGCGTAGGCCATACTAACGTACATATACAAAGACCAGGTTGTCTGTTATAAATCACAGGGCCTCTGCTAGTGTACTGGTTAGAGGAAATGCTAAGTGCATGAAAAGATTTATCAACTCAACTTTAAATTGCATACATAAGTGCTTAGCTTCTTATTGCTAAGCTTTCTATTTAATCGTTTAACAACTAAAGTCTTTCATCCAATTGTTCTGCATAGGTCTACGTGATTAGCATGGTTTCTTCTCCGAATCACTAAAGTGCTCTCTACTTTGCCACGTCGATTTTTTGGCCCGTGCGACATCCTTAGAACATGTACACACCGAGAAGAGCCAAAAAGACGTAGAACCATGCTAGTACG